CTGCGCGGGTGAAAATGCCAAATTACATTCCCACTGGGGCCTTGGGTGGAGCCCCCTATATGGGGCCACGAAACGCTGCACTGGGCGAGTGAAAATGCCAAATTTGGGCTTCCGGGACGCATGCGGACGGTGGCACTGGGACCTTCGGTGGAGCTCCCTATGGGGCCACGAAACGCTGTACTGGGTGTGCGGGACGCATGCGGACGGTGGCGCTGGGACCTTCGGTGGGGCTCCCTATGAGGCCACGAAACGCTGTACTGGGCGCGCGGGACGCATGCGGACGGCAGCACTGGGACCTTCGGTGGAGCTCCCTATGGGGCCACGAAACGGTGTTCTGGGTGAGTGAAACGCAGGGAAGAGGGGGAGGAGGGCCACGAAACGCTGTACTGGGTGTGCGGGACGCATGCGGACGGTAGCACTGGGACCTTCGGTGGAGTTCCCTATAGGGCCACGAAACGCTGTACTGGGTGTGCGGGACGCATGCGGACGATAGCACTGGGACTTTCGGTGGGGCTCCCTATCGGGCCACGAAACGCCGTACTGGGTGTGCGGGACGCATGCGGACGGTAGCACTGGAACCTTCGGTGGGGCTCCCTATGGGGCAACGAAACGAGGGGGAGGAAGGCCACGAAACGCTGTGCTGGGTGTGCGGGACGCATGCGGGCGGTAGCACTGGGACCTTCGGTGGAGCTCCCTATGGGGCCACGAAACGCTGTACTGGGTGTGCGGGACGCATGCGGACGGTAGCACTGGGACCTTCGGTGGGGCCCCCTATGGGGCCACGAAACGCTGTACTGGGAGTGCGGGACGCATGCGGACGGTAGCACTGGGACCTTCGGTGGGGCCCCCGATGGGGCCACGAAACGTTGTACTGGGTGGGTGAAACGCAGGGCGGAGGGGGAGGAGGGCCACGAAACGCTGTACTGGGTGTGCGGGACGCATGCGGACGGTAGCACTGGGACCGTAGGTGGGGTTGCCTAGTATGGGGCCACGAAACGTTGTACTGGGTTGATGAAACGCAGGGAGAAGAGGGAGGAGGGAGGAGGAGGGAGGAATGGGAGGAGGAGAAGGAGAAGGAGGAGGAGGAGGAGGAGGAAGAGGAGGAGGAGGAGAGGAGAGGAGAGGAGAGGATCATTGGAAGAGGGAGGAGGGAGGAGGAGGAGGGGGAAGAGGAGGAGAGGAACGCGGGGACCGTCTCTTCAAAACGAGGACCCAACACCACAGGATGGTTGGGAACTAGTAGTAGTAGTAGTAGTAGTAGTAGTAGTAGTAGTAGTAGTAGTAGTAGTAGTAGTAGTAGTAGTGGTGGTGGTGGTGGTGGTGGTGGTGGTGGTGGTTTTGGTGGTGGTGTGGTGTAGTAGTGGTAGTGTAGGTAGTAGTAGTAGTAGTAGTAGTAGTAGTAGTAGTAGCAGTAGTAGTAGTAGTAGGAGTAGTAGTAGTAGTAGTAGTAGTAGTAATAGTAATAGTAATAGTAGTAGCTGCTGCAGTCAGTAGTAGCATTCAGAATTCGAATGATCATAAGAGTAGCGGTATGGTACCGGAGAAAAAAACCAATCAGGGCTATAGGGATAGGGGGCTATAAGGCTATTGACCTATAGGGCTATGGAGCTATAGGGTTATAGAACTGTAGGACCATGGGCTATTGGGCTATAGACACAACCGGGCACCCCTGCGCACGCCCAGGCACCGGGGCACCCGGGCACCCGGGCACCCTCGGGCACCCGGGCACCCGGGCGTTCAGCGAAAATCGGCGGCAAACCGAATCTAACCATATGAATCCGCTAGGACCCCTACAAGAGGCAAGCTCTGATTGGGGAAGTCGTGGGAAAAATTCGGTAGTAGTAATGATAAAGAATAAATGAAGTAGTAACAGTAGTACTAATCGTTAAAAATACTGGAAAAAAAAAAAAAAAAAAAAAAAAAAAAAAAAAAAAAAAAAAAAAAAAAAAAAAAAAAAAAAAAAAAAAAAAAAAAAAAAAAAAAAAAAAAAATCGAACACCACGTTTTCAATTCGTTTTGGGTTACCGTGTTGTTTCCGTTTTTGTTGGTCGCAACCCCAAAAATGGAAAACGGGTATAAAAACGCCCCCGGCGCATCTAAGAACAACTAAGTACGAGGCGTCCCGAAACTTTCGCAAATCAGACAAGGGAGGACAAGAGTCGACGAGGTCCTCGTCAGAACGATTCAGGACCATCCGGCCCGAGGAAGGGTCATTGAGCCCGATTAAGCCAGGTGAAGCCTGGGACTACGCCCATTGGACGCGGTCCAGCGGGGCTCAGCCAGCATAAGCGGGATTCAGCCAGACTAGGCAAGTTTTCGATCAGGGGTACACCGGCTCCGACTCTGAAGTTAATTTCCCAGGAGCTGCATCCCGAGGGGTCGAGGGAAGGGACCCCTGTAGTCGTTCTCGTCGTGTGGGGAGGGGGGACCCTATCGCCAAATGTGAAGGGGCCCCAGGACACACAAATAAATACACACAAATAAAAAAGATGCCTCATATTTTCCCATATTTTCTGAGTTCCTGTCTTCCCCCCCACTTCAAATATTTTCCCATATTTTCTGGGGAATCGACGATTAATTGTGTCTGCGTGTTTTTTCCTCTCCTGAAGATGGATGTGCTCGTCGCTGCCGCTGTGTCGTCAAGGGGGCCCAGCGCGGAAACAAGAAATCCGCGCGGAGCGCCGAAAATTTATGGTTATACAATTTGTGCTTCGAGTTGTGTTGCCGTAGTTGTGCTCGAGCGCATACTAGGTGACAGTGCCTGGGGCCGTTTTCGCAGCTTGGTGCTTCCGCGCGCGCGGCACGCTCGACTCCCGCGCTGGGCGCATAGTCGTCGTGCTACCAGACACATTCGACTCTCGCGCTGGACGTGCAGCCATCGCGCTACCATATATGACCGTATACAGACCTGTATGGACATACCCTTTAAACCACGTGAAAACGCACGCCGTCTCCCCTCCGTTTCATAGCTGTTCTGGCTAAGCCAGACCCCGGGCGCGCAGGCGCGCATGCCCCGCCGCAGCCGCTCGCGGCGGCAGGCGCGCTGGCGCGACCAGGAGGGGCCCCTTGCGCGGCCCCCAGCCTGGGGCCTCCGCCTGCCGGGGCAGGCCCTGGAGCGCGCGGGCGGGCGCGCGGCGGGCCTCCTCGCTGAGCTCGGGGTTCTCCGAGCGGTCGCGCGGCTCCTGGAGCAGGCGCTCGCGGAGGCCGAGGAGCTGGAAGCGCCCGAGCCCAGCCGGCGAGACGCCACGGCCGCTCGGCGGAGCCATGGCCGAGGCTGGCCCTGACGACGCGGACGGGCTGCTGGACGAGCTGGGGTCGCAGGAGCTGGAGGAGGACGACGGGGGCGAGGGCCCCGCTGCGGCAGCTGCGCAGCCCGAGCCCATTGCCATCGAGGCGCGCGAGATCTACCAGAGCACGGGGTTCGACCGCGCTGGAGCGGAGCAATGCAGCTTTGCGTGGCAGACGCTGCGGGCGCCCCAGGGCCCGGAGCAGTTCGCGCGGCCGCGGTTCCTGTTCAGCGACGACGCGCACTGGGACTGGTGGACGAGCTTCCCAGGAGTCGCGGCGGCCATCCGAGAGGGCGCCCTGCTGCACATCTGCACCGAGGAGCCGTGCAACGTGGACGCCCTCCCTCCGAACTGCCAGGAGGTGGCGCACGTCAGGGATGCGCTGCGGCTGGACCTGACGACGGTGGCCGACGTGTACGCGCAGCGCCTGGAGCACAGCCCCGGGGCGATATGGCCCGCGGACCTCCTGGGCGCGCGCCGCGGCGGCGCTGCGGCAGGTGCTCGACGCCTCGCCCGCGCGAAGCCCGCCGCAGGAGGAGCTCCCGCACCCTTCGACGCGCTGCTCGGCGGGGGCCTCGCGCCGCGGGGCGGCGGGCCGACCCTGGACGAGCCGACCCCCAGGGAGGAGCTGAGGCGGGGGCTCGCCGCCGCGAAGGGCAAGTTCGAAGGAGCTGCGCCCGCAGCAGCGGCCCCAGTGCCAGCGGGCGCTGCAGAGCCGCGCCCAGCCGAGGTCAAGCCGCGCAAGCGAGGCCTGGGCGAGGTGCTCGCCGAGAGAGCGGCCAAGGTCGCTCGGCCCCTGGACGCGGAGCCCCCGCGCGGCTCGCGCGAGCACGCGCTTGCGCCGCTGACCGACGGGGGCGAGGCACGAGGCGAAGCACGGGAGTTGGCGGCAGCTTCATGGCGGTGATGAAGAGCTCGGCTGCGCAAGCCGCTGCAGGAGGAGACGCTGCCGCGGCGCGGGGGGGCGGCGGGGCCTGCCGCGGGGCCTCGCCGCCAAGCGCGCCTACTGCAGGGAGCTCGCGCAGGAATCGCCTGGCCGGTTGAGCGAGCTCACGCTCGGGCAGATGGCGGAGTTCCTCAGGGCGCTCGAGGGGGGCGCGTCCGTGGACCCGACCTCGGCGCTGGCGCTGCGCTACCTGCCGACGGTCTACCTGCCGCAGAAGCCAGAACGGCAGATCGGCGCCCAGATGTTCCGCGAGCCGCGGGCCCTCGCGGAGGCGATCGACTTCCTCCTGCAGGGCAAGGTGCAGCACGCGCTGGACGTCCTGACGCAGCGCATGAAGGCGGCGCAGGCTGCGATCAGCGACGGGCACTGGAAGGCGGCGAAGTGGCTGGAGCTGATCTCCGCGAGGGACGAGCCGACCACGCTCAGAAACGAGGAAGAGGAGATGATCCGCAGCATCGAGCTAGGCGAGCTGAAGCCGGAGGAGCTCACGACTCGCCTGCGGAAGCCCCTTTGACAGGGGGGCCGGGAAGAGGCGCGCCCGCCGCTGGCGCCTCCTCCTGCCGGCCACGCGGGGGGGGGGGCCCGCCGCAGAGCGGGGCCCGGTCAGCCGGCCGCCCGAGCGAGCGGCTGCGCCGAGGCCCGAGGGCAGGGCCGCTCCGAGGGGCCCCGAGCAGCGGGTCGCCAGGCTCGACGGGGCGCCCCCCATGTTCATGACCGCGAAGGCAGCGCACGCCAAGAAGGAGGGCGAGAGCGGGTAAGCTTACAAGACTCGACGGCCGGGGCTCATCAAGGACAGCAAGTCGCCGCCCGCGCGGAAGTGAGGCCCGATGGGCCTTGCAGCGCAGCAGGCGCGATGCTCGACTTGGATAAGTTCGCGGCGCGGTCCCCGGCCTGTGGCAGCGGGCTGCTGCTGGTGTCTGAGGACTACCCCTGGCTGGAGGCGGAAGAGGTAAAGGGCCGCCGCGCGGCTGGAGCGCCTCCCAGCGGGGGGCAGCAGCGGGGGCTGGCGAGCAGTTCCTTTAGCGAGAGTGGCGCGGCAGGCTGCGCGACTGGCCCAGGCGGGCTGCTGGCGCCCCCGACACCTTGCGGGAGCGCACCCCCCGACGCGGGAGCGCAAGCGCAACTGGGCGAGCCGCCGCGGGTCATCGGCGGATGGCGCTCAGGAGTCACGGCGCGCTTCGGCACGACCATGTCCGGGGTCGACCTGGCGGTCCACGCTGTGCAGCTGGCGCAAGACCACCCTGTCAGCTTGGGAAGATCCTGCAGGCAGTACCCAACACACGTGACCACACTTAGAGGGAGCGGGAGGCGCGTTCGCGACCTGCTGCCGCTACCCCTGCCAGATATGGAAGCTGTCAGGCGATGGTCAACCAGCCAGAGGGCAGGCCGCGCGCCGAGGAGCCGCCCCGTCGCGCGCCAGGTAGCTGAGGGCGCGTGGCTGTACGTGGTCGTGGTCGCCCTGAACTACAAGTACTGCGGCCGATGCAGTGAGGCCTGGAGGCACCACCCGACCCTCACGCTCCCCCACCACCGGACCATGCGGTTCCTGCGCGAGCGAGTACCAGCCCTTGTCGTGGACCCGTTTTCGACCAGGTCAGCGCGCCCGCGGCCTACCAGGCACTCAGTGGGGCGACGGTCGACTACGCGGGGGAGCAAGCGGCCAAGGCCTTGCCCCGCGTGCTCGCGGGGCAGGCGCCCGGGCAGCCCAAGGCGGAGCACGCCGCGACGCTGGATGCCCTTGACCACGTGGGGCCCGAGGTAGCAAAGTGGCTTGCCTGCCCCGAGAAGGCCCTGCTACCCGATGCGCAGTGACGGAACCCGATGCAGAGGGCGAGGGTCAACGTGGAGAGCGAGGCCGACTGGCGCGACCTTGCGGCGCACCTCGCGAGCCTCGGGATCTTCACGGCGCCCCCGGAGGACGAGCTGATCAGGGTCCAGGGCGAGCCGCTGCTCAGCCAGCCCTTCGCCGTGGAGAAGAAAGGCCAGCCTGGGCCAGGATGGTGCCAGGCAGCGCGCTCATGAAGCCGCGCGTGGGGGAAGCTGAGGTCCTGGCAGCCTCCACGACGTGGGCGTCGCTGCACATCCCCAAAGGAAGCTCATGCTGCGGTCAGGCGACGACCAGCAGGGGGGCCTTCTTCGCGCGGAGGGCCCCAGCAGCCCGGCACCCCTACATGGCGGTGGGGAGGCCGCTCCCTGGGGCACTCTTCGGGCGGCCCGAGCGCGTCGCCCACCTTGCGTCGGCCGCCATCGCGATGGGCTGGATGCTGGCCGCGCCTGCGTACCAGCACATCCACCGCAGGCTGCGCCGCCTGCCTTCGCCCGCGGGAGCGGGGCTGCCCATCGAGCTGGAGTGGCGGAAGGGCGACTCGCGCCCCATCGTCCAGGCCTGCAGCGGCCAGGACGCGGGCCAGTGGCAGGTCCTGATCGACAACTTCGCCGCCCTGGAGATCGTCGAGGAGAAGCGGGCCCGCCAGCTGCTCGGCACGGAGTCAGACCTCCAACGGCGCGCGCGGGACAGCTACCGGCGCGCGGGGGTCGCCCACTCGTCGGAGAAGGCGCACTTGCGACAGCTGCGCGTTGAACGCAGGGGGGCAGACGTGGACGGGGAGAGTGGCAGGCTGGCGGGGCCCAGGGACAAGCTCCCCACCACCGCCGCCCTCTGCCTCGCGACCCCGGCGGAGGACCTCGTGCCGTGGAGGCTCTGCGTGACGGTCCTCGGAAAGATGGTGCGGGCCTTCGAGTTTCGGAGGCCGCTCCTGCCAGCTGAATGCGATATGGACTTTGTCCACGTCGCGGACATCGGCGCGGTGCAATGCCGAGATGGTCGAGGAGCTGATCTTGAGAATCATGCTGCTGCCCACCGCGGCTACCTCCATGCGCAGCCGCATTGGCGGCATGGCCACCGTGTCCGACGCCCCCGAGTTCCGACGAGGCGTTTGCGTGTCCAAGGGCTTGAGGCGGGACGCCGAGCTGGGGCTCAACGCCTGCGGCGACATCGCGGAGCACCTCGGCGTTGGCGCGCGGCTCCTCAACATACCAGCCGACCCGCAGCGTCCGCGGATGGCTTCGAGCCAGCGCATCCCGAAGGAAATCGTGCTCAAGGTGCTGAACGTCCTCGTCATCGGCCTCGTCGACGGCATCGGGGGCCTCGCCGCGGCGTTCTCGAGGCTGCCGGTGGGCATCGTGGCCTACGTCGCGGCCGAGACGGACGCCAAGGCCAGGCGAGTGGTCAGACTGCGATGGCCAGGTGCGATCGACTGGGGCGACGTCGCGCAGGTCGACGGGACCCTGATCCAGGACTTGTACGAGACGTTCAACGACAGCGTCGACATCTGCGCGGCGGGCGCGGGGAGCCCGCGCCAGGACCTCTCGCGCCTCAACCTCAGTGGAGGGGGCCTGCACGGGCGCAAGAGCTCGCTGTTCTTCGAGGCCCCCAGGATCTTCAAGCTCCTGCGGCTGCTCTTCGGCGCAAAGCTGCACGCGCTGCTCGAGAACGTCGCGGGCATGGCGGAGGACAACGCGCGGGCCATCTCTGAGTGCTTGGGGGTGGCCCCGTACCTCATCTACTCCTCGGTCCTCGTCCCCTGCCGGAGGCCGCGACTCTTCTGGCTGAGCTGGCCGCTGCAGATCGTGCCGCCCCATCGCGTGGTCGACAGGGGCGTGGGTCTGGAGGTGGTCGGGGACGCAGGGTCGGCGCTCGACCTCGAGTGGGAGGACCCTGGCCGCTGCTGGCGAGGGCGGCCCCGCCCCTTCCCGGCGAGGGCGGCCCAGCCCCTACCCGATTGGTATGCTGCAGGCCGCTGCCGAGCGTCCCGGCGGCACCGCGCGGGCTTGCGCGGGCGTCAAGTGAGGCCGAGGCGCGCTGGCAGGCAGACTCGCACCGTTATCATGTTGCGCTGTATGAAGACAAAAACCTGGTCCAGGACACTGCCAACATGACATCTGCCAGGCTGCCGAGTTGCGAAGAGAGCGAGAGAGAGAGGGGGGAAAAAGAGAGGAGAGAGGGAGAGAGAGAGAGAGAGAGAACAAAAAAAAATAAAAAAAGAGAGAGAGAGAGAGAGAGCGGATGTTGGGATTCGACGTCAGGCACACCGCCGTAGCCACGAAGGGCTCGAACTCGAGCGACGCCAATGATGCGAGGTGCTTCCTCCTCGGCAACAGTTTCTGCGTGCATGTGGCGGCATGGGCCTCGCAGCACATCCTCCTGGCGGAGGGCGCCCTCTCGCGGCCGCCGGCGCTGGCAGAGCTGGTGCACGTGGGCGAGTGCCGCGAGACCTGTGGCCAGCGCGGGGCCCTCGAGGGCGACGCGGGCCTCCCCGACAGGGGCGAGGCGAGGCGGCCGGCACTGCATTGCCTCAGCCGCGCCGAGAAGGGCAGTTCGGACATCCGCCTGGACTGCGGCCTGCCCTACAGACCAAGAGGGCGGCCGCGGAGCAGCTTGGACCCGTTCGCGCGGCGCTGGCGCGCGGTCCTGAGCATGGCCTGGACGCGCGGGCGACAGGCACGCATCAACGCGAGGGAGTTGCAGGCGGCGCTGGCCGCGCTGCCCCGGCGGTCGCGAAAGGCCTGCGCCCACGGGTCGCGCTGGCCCCATCTCGTGGACAGCCAGGTCGCGGCGGCGATCGCCACGAAGGGCCGCAGCAGCAGCCGCCGAGTGCAGCCGGCGCCGAAGCGCTGGATGGCGATGTGCATCGCGGCCGACATGCACCCGCTGATCGGCTACGTGATGTCGGAGGACAGCCCAGCGGACGAGCCGCCCAGGAAGCTGCGGCGTGGGTGGCGGCCCAAGAGGCGCGGCGGAAGACCGCATGTCACATGTCGCCCTCGCGCGCAGGGCGCCGCTGCTGCGCTGAAGCGGCGCAGCCTGCGCGGGCAGACGTTGGCGTCGCTGCGGGTCGTTGCCGCGACCCGAATGAGATCCGCCAGAGCGGTACAGCACCTCCTCAGGCACTACGGGGTGAGCCCCCAGGAAGTCAACGCCCTCGACGTGGACGGCGAAGACGCCGACGGCCTCGTCGCCAACTACCTGGAGGCGAAGTGGCGAGAGGGGGCAGGCATCGCGCTCGCCAACAACACCGTGGCGGGCGTCTGCTTCACGGTGCCCAGGCTACGGAGACGCCTGGACCTGTCGTGGGCGCTGCTGAAGGCGTGGCGACGGGCAGAGCCAGCAGCGAGGGCGTTGCCCTTCACGCCCGAGATTGTCGGCGCCATGGCGGGCCTGGCGGCGGACGCAGCGGCCTTCGACGTCGGATGCCTGTTGCTCATCAGCTTTGGAGGCCTCCTGCGGGGCGGCGAGGCGTTCGCCTTGACGACGGCAGACGTCTTGGACCGAGGCGAGGTCATCGTGCTGCGGGTCAGCACGTCCAACACGACGGCGGGCAAGGATGCCGCAGAGGCCGTCGTCATCCGCTCGCGAGTCGCCAAGCGGATGCTGAGGCTCGTGGTCCGGCATCGGGCCCTCGGCGAGCCGCTCTCGTGGAGGTCGCCCGCGCAGTTGAGGAGCGCGCTGGCGGCGCTGACGCGAGGGTTGGGGCTGCCTGGGCCTTTCTCGTGGCATTCCTGCCGGCGTGGAGGTGCCTCCGACGTTTTCTTGACGTCGTCCTCCATGGAGGCCACGTTGGTGGCAGGCGGGTGGGCGTCGAGCATGACCGCCCGCATCTACGTCGAGGGCGCCGTCGCCGACCTCGTCCGGGTGCGGCCAAGAGACCAGGCCGCGGCGGCCGTGCGCCACAGATTGCGGCTCCTGAAGGCTTTCGCAGAGTTGTGAATACCTTGCCCACCGGTGCCCTTTTTTGCCCTGCGAAGAGCCGACCAGAAAAGGGCACCGGCCATCTTGCAGTTCGGATAGTAAGTTCTGAATGGTATCTTGGAGTTTCGCTCCCGTCTCATGATTACAGGGTGGGGGTGGAGAGTTAAACAGCATTTTCATACGGCCTTTAGCAAGGGGAAGCAAAGATGGTATAGCGGTTTCCCCCCGATGCGTGCCCCCTCCTGTCCCTTGGCGTCCCTGCAAGGTGTCCCCGTGAGAGGCGCCCCCGCCCTGCGTGCACGGTTGATCGGTGCTCTGCGCCTCCGTGCTTCCCCGGCCAGGGCCCGCAGAACGCGCCCGAGAGGAGCTTTCGGCGAGGCGCAGCTGCAGGGTCTGGGGGTGGAACCTCGGTCCGGGGTGGATCCTTGGTCTGGGTAGAGCCTCGGACAGTGCTGGGCTCTCCATCGGCGCTTGGGGGGGGAAGCTGAGCTAAATGACCATTGGCGTGGTCACGTGTGATACAAAAAGGTGTGTCTATATATATATATATATATATATATATATATATACATATATAGGGTATATATATATATATATATATATATATATACGAAACAGAAAACACAAGACAAAAAAAAACAAAAAAACGCTTAGCGAGGAGGAGCCGAGGGGCTCTTCTGGCCACCAGTCGTGGCCGCGGCGAGCCTCGCCCACGCATGGGCTCCCCGACCCTGGCCCAAGCGCAACGGCCCGAGCACCGGAGCCCCATCCCGAGCACAGCGCGGTCCCCCTTACCTCGGCGCCTCGAGCGGATGCTGCGCCTGCGCACCGCCGGACGCAGGGTGCGCAGCGGAGCGGCCCCTCGTCGGAGAGGCGGCGGGGCACGGGCCGGCGCGATGTTTAACGACGACGGGGCGCGCTCGCGCGAGACGAGCCCGCAGCAACCAGGGAGGGGGGGAAGCAGGCGGCAGGTTCGGAGGCAACTCCTGGGAGGCCATCGTGGGAACGATTCAGGGCTACCTACCAGACCACCCCAACCCAGCCCGAAGGCCCGAATCTGACCCCAATTTCGGGCTGGGGGGGTACGGGTTCCATGTGTGTTTTCCACGTTCCCCGACACACACCCCAGACTGGAAATGGAGGGCAAATTGAGGGTTTCGGGTTGGGTTGGGGTGAGTTGGTGGGTGGTGAATTACAGGCTACCAAGCCCGATGACTAGGCTGTTGGGCCACACTAGCCCAGGTTACGCCCAAGATTGGACGGACTAGGCTGGTTAAGCGGGCTTGGGCAAAATGAAACGGGATTACGCCCAATTCGGTTGGGTTCCGACAACGGATGGCGGGGTTGGCCCAACGTAGTCATCAAGAAAATGATGAGGCCAAACCTGAAATGCGAGGCGACCTCCCGCTGCAAACATCCCACGAAAACCGGACGGTCAAAATCCAGGCTGCCGCGTCAAAAAACGGCACGCTTCCCCGAAGGCCCGAAGGACCCGTGGACCTGCAAGCTGAATCAGTTGCAGTGGCAAAAGGTGATAAAAGACTGCGGTTCATGACTACAGGGATGAGCCGAAGAAGCAAGAATGGAATGGCAACCTTGATGATGCAGTGCTTCCGTGCCGCTGGTCTACACTGTTCTGGCGTGCCACTTCACTTCACTTCACTGTTGGCGTTGAAGTGCTTTAGTCACTAAAGCACTTCAACGCGGGCTGACTGCAGGACCAAGGTCTGGGAACCCTTTTGCAAGCCCCTGCGAACCCAAGAAGCCCAGAGCACCCCGGCGGAATACCGGCGTCTGAATCTGCGCCTCCACCGCAACTGCGCCTCCGACACTGAAGAGCCGAACTTGTGTGCCAAGGACCGACCTAAGATGCTAGAGTCCATGGCATGGGCAAGATCGGGCCGAAGGTGCCAGGCTACGAGAGCAGCTTAGCAACTTTCATGAGGTGCAGCGCATCCTCAACACTTTCTACGACATCGACTTCAGAGGGGGACCTTCAATCTTCGATGGCCGAGCTACGGTCAAGAACTCCTGCTCAGCGTGCCGCGGCGGCGTCCCCGGCGACGCGCCATGCCCTGCGAGCCGACAGCGCCTCGCTCCGCTCCGCGGGACGGGAGGCTGGGAAGAGCTCGGGCCGTGGACGCCCGGGGACTGGGGCGCGGCTGTCGCGTCGCGCCGAAGCGTGGAGGGCCAGAGCTGGCGGCGCGGCACGCTGAGCCAAAGTTCCTGACCGCATCCCCCAGGGCTCCCAGCTTCGCGCTTCGCGCTGCGCGAAGCGCGAGGGCGCGAATAACTTCGCGCCCTCGCGCCGCCCTCCCAAAGGGAGAAAAGGAGGACGAGGAGGAGGGGGGAGGAGGAACGAGGACCGCGAAGCGCGAAGCGCGAATAACTTCGCGCCCTCGAGGGAGCCCTTGATCATCCCCCACTGTCGCTGGCTTTCGGGATCTCACGCGCACCTCCGGCGGCCCATCGGGACGCTGCGGGCAGCCCCAGGGCGCTCTCGGCGAGGCGCATCTGCTGAAAGCCCGAGGCTAGAGAACACTGCCGAGAACGTGGGCAGACCCTCGGGCCCCGCACCTCGGGCCAGCCGCATGCGGTCCTGGTGCGCCGCCGCCGCGCCCATCGCGGCCGCGGCGGCCCGAGCAGGACCGGCGCGGCCATGGGCGGACGCCGCGCGCCCCGCTTCGGGGCCGGAGCGGCTGCTGGCGGCGGCGGCGGCTGCGGCGGCGACGGCGGCGGCGAGAACGGCAGCGACGACGCCATCGGTGACGGCGACGGCGACGACGACGACGACGACGGCGACGACGACGACGACGACGACGACGACGACGACGACGACGACGACGACGACGACACGACGACGACGGCGGCGGCGGCGACGGCGGCGAACGCCGTCAGCGACGGCGACGGCGACCCCGCTCTTGGACGACGGTGACGACGGCGACGACAGCGAAACCGACGACAGTGGCACCGGAGACTGCGACATCGACGGCAGCGGCGACGCCGGCACCTGGCTGCTTTGTCACGACGACAACGACGACGAAGATAACCACGACGACGACGACGAAGACGACGACGGCGATGATGACGACGACGGAGGCGGCAACATCAACGGCCGACACCCTGCAAAGGGGTTGCCTGTCGCAGCGGGCGTGGTCACAGGGAGAGGGACGCCGACCAGCAGCACTAGGCATCTTCCCCCCCTCCTTCCGCATCATCCTCCCTCCTCCCTCCTCCCTCCTCCGACCTCCCTCTCTCCTCCTCTCCCTCCCTCCCTCCCCCATTCCCTCCCTCTCCCTCCCTCCCTCCCTCCCTCCTCCCCCTCTTTCAACCTCCTCCTCTTGTACGAATCTGCGCAGGACACGGAGGCCATTTCCGCCAAGATCCGCGCACACAGAGACTCCTTCCTCCTCCTCCTCTTCTTCCTCCTCCTCCTCCTCCTCCTCCTCCTCCTCCTCCTCCTCCTCCTCCTCCTCCTGCGCTCGTACCGAACACCTCCTCCTCCTCCTCCTCCTCCTCCTCCTCCTCCTCCTTTTCCTCCTCCTCCTCCTCCTCCTCCTCCTCCTCCTCCTCTCTATCTCCTCCTCCTCCTCCCCTTCTCCTCCTCCTCCTCCTCCTCCTCCTCCTCCCTCCTCCTCTCCTCCTCCTCCTCCTCCTCTCCTCCTCCTCCTCCTCCTCCTCCTCCTCCTCCTCCGCCAGTGTTCAGGACCGTACAGCAAAATCCCCGATCATCCCTCCTACTCGTCCTCCTCATCCCCGCCAGGGTGACAAATGTCCCCTCTGAGGCGTGCCACCCCGTATCGGTCTCAGACTTGCGCGTCTCTTCCCCTCGGGGCTATCCTAACCTGATCCTTGGGAAACATGCGGACGCCAAAGACTCCCCCCGACCAACTAACGACAATTGTGAGAAGTGCCCGAATGCGCGGCAACCTCGAGATAATCACGCACATTCGAGACACTCCTGCTCTTCATCCTCGTCCCCCCTCCCTCTGCTCCTCCCCCTCCCCTCCCCCTCCGCCTCCCCTTCCCCTCCTTCTCGTCCTCCACCTGATCCCCCTCCCCCTCCTCTCCCCCCTCCTCCTGCCCCTCCTCGCCCTCGGCGCGTCGTCGCCACCCTCGCCGCCTTTGCCGCCGCCGCGGTCGCCGACCCCGACGTCGCCGCCCCCGCCGCCGCCTCCGTCGGCCGCCACACCCACCAGCCCGCGACGCCGACGCCACGAGCCCGTCGCCGAGGCCGCCTCCGAGCGCGCAGGCCGCCGCCGCGGGAGGGCAGGGCCGGGCGCGCCTCGCCACGGGGTCCTGGCGCTCCGCCGCCACGCCGCGCGGGGACGGCGACCGCCACCACCGACAGCACCGCGGCGGCCACGACCGCGACTGCGACGACCACGGCGGCGGCGGCGGCGGCGGCGGCGGCGGCGGCGACGACGACGACGACGACGACGACGACGACGACGACAAAACAAGACAAGCACCCATGGAGTCCTCTGCAGTCCACGATAAAGCATCGCTTAGAACTCTGGGCAGGCTGCTACACAGCCGACAGCAGTAAAGATGGTGAGAGCGGATGCGGCCACTCTCTGCACAGGGGCAGCACCGGCCCAGGCTGGGGGCCCCCCCGAGGCACGCAGCCCCAGATCGGGGCTCCCAGCTCACAGGGCACCAGGCTTGCCTATACCTTTCCTCCCACGGCCCGACCCGCTCCCACGCCTCCCACCTCGACCCTTTCCTCTGGATACTGGCTGTCTCGGCAACAACAAAACTGGTATGGAGGGTAGCTCAGAAGATGCATATCCTTGAGCCACAGAAGTACCGCTCGAGCGGTGCACAGTCTCACTGCTGACAACACCTCGCTCAATCAATGAGGCCAACCTTTCACTCTGCGCCAGTGCCCTCGGGACCTGCGTTGCAAAAGATCGGTTGGCTGTCACTCCACTGCTGCTGCCACTTCTACGCCGACTCCAACATCCGCGAGATCTCCCTTTCCAGCGTGCCCCGAGGCTGAGGCCCGCTCGTGTACT